ATGAACGCGTTTTCAATCTTAAAGAGGTTGTGGCTTGACAACTGTTGACAATGAAAACTAAGTTGGTAAAATGATTCATCCGGGGAGGCAATTCTGTTTTCAGATAAATTTTATGCATATTTTATTACTGTCCCTTCAGCTCATTCATCAATAATGAAGTAAAATTTATATAATACTTACTTACTAATTTAGAGCCGAATTTAGAGATTGTTTAAAGATAGCTCTATCCTTGGAGACCTTCTGTCAGTTCGGGATACTAAGGACTCTAGCGTCCTTATCAACACATCCAATCCCGGTATATTTTGGTTTTCTTCTAGATCTCTTGCCATATTTACAGTCTGCAACTGCTCCTTTAAGTACTGTGGTACCTTGTGGACGTCTAAACACATGTCAAGCCAATCTCAAGCGATTTGCACGGAGAACCGTAATAATATCAGTAATTCTGCAATATCAGAAATGTATATAATAACATCTAAAATTAACACTTAATTCACTCCCTGACTTTAGTACAAAAGCAGGTTGAACCTAATCATATGGGATATCGAGCCTTATATAAACAATTCTGTCAGTGCGAGAGCTAAGCCTCTGTGAAGCGAGTGATTAGGCAACAGATCGGATATGGTTTGATCACTTTTGGAAGGATGTAAGTTCGATTCCTACTAGAGACCGATCTTTCAAACCATTACATAGAGCAGTGTTGTCCAAACTTTTTCAGTCACGATACACTTTGACTCTAGATATTTTTCCAGGACACAACTTTAAATTAATCAATACTCACGACATTACACGAAGGCAATTTGAACTCCCAACAACTTTACTACCAAAGATTTAATCAAGTTAGTTGCTCGCAATTATCAAGCAAATTTTAAAATTATTTTAAAGCAAAGAACTCCTAAATACATTCACATATCCCCTTAAAAATATTTCACAAACCGTTTGTCTAAATAAATAAGAAATCATCAAGTCTATAAACACACAGATTAAAAACAAGCAATTCCAGTAGCACAACTTTCACATGGCAGCGATTATGCCAAAAGGACAACTCAATTACCTTCATTATTCCTTCTTTCTCCTCTCCTTATTTTTGAAAAAAGTAAATAGTTTAAAAATCAAAAATTTTTCATGCATCTCAAAACAACAAAAAACTTGAACTAAATAAATTTTTAGTTTCTTTCACAAAAGCATAAACAACATCATCATTATTAAGATAATTCCGACTTATTTGTAACAAGTAAATCTCTTTTAAAAAATCTACATAGCAATATTACGGAGAAGTAAAATAAAAATTGTTTTGTGGGGATTAACAAAAATAGAATCCCATGAGTTTACCTGATTCGAGCGAAATGTGTGGGATAAAAAAATGTATTTTTGTGCTGATTTTTTACAAATTTATTTTTCATACACAAAATAAATAAGAAAAAAAATTCAGAATCAAAAATAGTTTTTACGACACATAAAAAAACGTTGCAGGCTGAATTGGGGATGAAGCTAATCAGGCTCCTATCTCAACAATAACTCAAATGCCTCTAAAACCTCGCCTGTCTGGGTTCAAGCTAATACCCCTGCAGCTCACTATCCATTCATTCTCCCAACTACACCTCTGCCATGAATTCATCCTCAAGGTACTTAGTCAGCAACTTAATATCAAATATTGGGATTAATATTTCATACAAAACTTCCTTCTTACGATGAACGTTTAAATTCCATACGTAGCAGTCACATTTGTTATGTTATTTAATAATACATATAATGTATGTTAACGGATATGTACGTGAAGTTACCCGAAATCGTTGCTGGAATATTTATTGCTCCCAAATTCAAACAAAACTGATGAAAGTCCTGTTGAACAAATCCTGGGGATAAATTAATGCTGATTCTTTGTGAGATTAAGCATGACCAGATGAAGATATGTCTTAAATCAATAAAATTACAATCCTTACCTCCCAGCTTGAATTACTTTTTCATGCTTGATGCATTTTTTATCTTGTGAAATGGATGCTTGAGGTCTGCAGTTTGTCTTGTAGCATCGTTAGAATGTTGATGGAGAGTTGCTTGGTTTAAACGTCGTTTGACATAATTAAAGCTCTTTCTTGGACATGTGAGCATCCTGCCTGTAAGTTTTTGAGTGAAGCAAATGAATAAGATTCCATAAAATGATTGAGAAACTAAGTTTATATTAGATTCGAACCATGGTCCTTGCAAATGAGTGGAATAAAGTTTTCAAGTATGTTGCCTACTCATTTGATCACATAGGTCTGCCTATCATACTTACAGTTTTATCTTTATATGGCTTAATGCCTAAAATTCTACCGGTAACTTCAAAATATCCAGTAATCATAAAACTAACATCAATTTGCTTGTTTGTGAACTTGCTTCAAGTAAAATTGCTTTAAGTAAACTAGCTTCAAGTAAAATTGCTTCAAGTAAGCTAGCTTCAAGTAAACTAGCTTCAAGTAAGCTAGTTTCAAGTAAACTAGCTTCAAGTAAACTAGCTTCTAGTACACTAGCTTCAAGTAAACTAGTTTCAAGTAAACCAGTTTCAAGTAAACTAGCTTGAAGTAAACTAGCTTGAAGTAAACTAGCTTCAAGTACACTAGCTTCAAGTAAACTAGCTTCAACTACACTAGCTTCAAGTAAACTAGTTTCAAGTAAACTAGCTTAAATTAAACTAGCTTCAAGTAAACTAGCTTCTAGGAAACTAGCTTCAAGTACACTTGCTTCAAGTAAACTAGTTTCAACTAAACTAGCTTCTAGGAAACTAGCTTCAAGTACACTAGCTTCAAGTAAACTGTTTTCAAGTAAACTAGCTTCAAGTAAACTAGCTTCAAGTAAAATAGCTTCAAGTAAAATAGCTTCAAGTAAACTAGCTTCAAGTACACTAGCTTCAAGTAAACTAGCTTCATTCTCAAGTCCAAATAAACAGCGCATAATTCACATCAACTTAAAAAAAACTTCCCCCTTAAAAGAATTCATCAATACTGTTCCTTCTATCGTGCAACGTTCAGTCTTTGACCCATCTCCTCGTCATCTTCTCGCTCCAAATGATTCCAATGAATGGCTAAATGTATTTTACTGCAATATTTCATCTTAAAGAAACGGATAATCCTCAATATATTTCAGAGCAAAGCAGAAAAGAAAGAAATTTTCTTTCGACAAAAGCAAAATGAGAAGGAATCAGTCAAAAGATGGACTTAAGGAAGCATTGTTAAATAAAACATTTATTTTCTTTCTTGTTTTTTTGCAATTCGATCCATTTTTACCAATTGTATTTAAACATCTTGAGCTGCTCTCTCGTTCTTACTCACTTGCTTTCTTTTATGTGAAAAGGCGAAAAAAAGCAATTAAGGGTAAATTAGTTCGGATTTATAAGAAGAAGTTTTTTTGGATGCCTTTGTATGCGTAAAATATTCACACAACCATGAAGCACAACGAACATGCCAAGAAAGTTTCTTTTTCATGGCAATTTTGCTTTCTTTTTCATTGCCATTATCATTCAATTGTGCAAGCATTAAAGGATTTTTTTTTTTACTTTATGTTCTCATTAAATCTTGAAGCTTATTTTGTTATTAAGATAATCGACTAACATCATTATGAACATTTTTCATGCCTTTTTTGTGAGAATAATTAGAATGTAATTTATGAAAGTTTCTTTATGAAGTGTTATTGAAGCTGAAAATTAGAGCAGTTAAATGCTGAGAATAGGGTTAATTTTGAATTTCTAGATTTTGTTCAGTTTGTAGATTTTCAAATATGGCATGTGTTCGAGTCCTAAGCATTCTGTGAAATAATTTAGAGATTGTCTTCTGCTAGGAATCGAACTCACGTCCTTATCAAAGTTTCAATATTTTGGGAATATTGCATAAGTCTCGACCTATTCTCGCACAGCTATATTTGCCTTGGTTCCTCAAATCTGTAGAAATCAATATTAAATCATCTCTTCTTAAGTGGGAGTCCGATTATACCTAGGTGATGTCTGGACAAAGGCAAAAGCTACCATCCTTCGGTGAGACACTTAAAAAGGTGCTTTTCTGACAACTCTGCTTCGAACTGTCATTTTAGTTCAACTGCGGTGTTCAATAAAGTTATGTCTTCTTCTAGCTACACGCTTACTGCATCATAAGTAATTTTATGGCCAATGAATTTTTCCTTTAGTCAAGCTCACTTTTCAGTTAAATTAAACTTTAATTACTTTACCAAACAAAAGGAATCCATATATCAAATTCTTACAGCACCTCAAGCTTCTGTTCCAGAAACGAAAATCAATGTTTTGCTTCAGTAAATTAATCTGAAAAGTTTCCAAAGCTTCCTCGTGCCTGACGATGAAGTAAGCAATGAAATAGTTTCTTGTGGGATGAATGGATATGAAAAATGTATTGTTATACATGTCTGACGCAGGCATTCCTAAATTTTCAGCTATTTTTTTAAAAAAATTGTTCATTGAAAAATAAAATATTAACTTTCATGCACAACAAGTTCTTCAATTTTTTGATTATTTTATTTTTAGTAATGTGAATTGAGTATGGAGAGTATGGAAGGTATTCAATTAGTTTTTGAGGTAAATGATTCATGGCTTCTGAATCATGTTCATGAATGGATTTGTTTAGAAAGTTTTACATCTGTACATTCGTTGATGAATGACGATACAGTGGGTAAGGTCTGGGATTATTTAATGTTTTGAAACTAGTAACACACTCAACAGTTTTGGACATTATTTTTGAACGATTTCTGAGAACTAAACAAGTTCAAACCCAAACAACATCTTATGAAGCTTTTGGGTTTCAAACCTGCACCCTAGTTAACTCAATCCTACTTTTAGCTCTTAGCGATTGACAGTAGAAATTCAAAACCTCGACGAGAATAAAAGAACCATTCATATTATTCTGAAAACAATTTTCTAATCTAAAAACAGTTTAAAAATTCACAGAAAATTTAAATTTTTTTTAAAAATTATTTAACTTTATTTTTATTAATTATAAAATTATTCATATTTCCTCTTTGATCCCCGTTTAATATCCTAACAATTAATATATTCTACACTATACTTTACATTCTATAAAGCAAAATTTTCTCTAATTCTCATATTTTATGTCCTATCCTAAATAATCATCTCATTAGAACTTAATAATTTACATAATTTTCATTATTTTTGATTGCAACAGACGAAAAAAACAGTTTTTAAGGCCCCTAAAACTTTTCATATGATTCTTTTTCTTCGGAATCCGGTCCGAACATATTGTCATCATCATTATGACGATTTCTTCTGCATGTACAAGTCAATCAGGAGTTTCAATAATGGAACATGTCCAATATTTCGTCTAAAGAACAGTTCCTCAATTGTGTAATTTGATACAAGTTTCAATGATGGCAGCAATGAGAGAAGATTCTTGTATCGAATGTGATGTGCAATTCCATAATAGCTTTGTTCATAAGCAGCCAAAGCGTCTCTAGCATTTGACTCAAGTGCTTTCACCTTCTGAGACTCTTCAAGAACTTTCAATGATGTCGCTGTCGATGTTGCCGATGACGATGTCTTGATTGTCGTCGTTGAGTTATTATGTGACACATCTGATGATGAATCGTCACTTGTACTTGTTATCACATCCTGACTGCTATCCTTATCCTTCCCATTCTTAACATTCTTGTTGCTGCTATTATCATTATTATTATTATTATTCTCAAAGTCTGTCTTATACAGAACAATCGCACGCAAGTAAACATATTCGTTGCTGTCGACCCTCATCTGAATAAATTTATTTAAAACTTCCTGGAATGCCTCAATTTCACGTATCATCGTCTCCATAGAGACCTTCGATTTCGACTGCTCATACTGGCATGTTGAGTTAAGGAACTCGTAAGCAAAGAGCAATTGTGTAAAATTGATTGGCAATAGATGCTCGGCAATTCCCATAATGAAAAATTCACGCCAGGACTCCTCAAATAATAAGAGTTGATCAGCAAGTGGCAATTGTGTGAATGGTGTTAAATTCTTTAAGAAATTGACATTCATGAAGAGTAGCTGTGCTGCCGACTCACGAATCGCATCAACAGCAATAAGGTGATGATGAGCTGATGCTGTTGTTGAGTGACTTGGAGACGATGTTAAATGATGATGATGTTGATGATGAAATAAGGGCGTTGATGAAGGTGGTGGTGTTGATGCGGGTGAACTACTGGATGTTGGGAAGTTCGACATGTACGGCGATGGTGTAAGAAATGGATTTGTGAGACGTGAGACTGATAAATCAAGTCCTAATGGCAACATTTGTGGTGCCGGTGGTGGAATTCCAGCCATTATGAAAGCCTCATGATGTCTAATTGCTGCATCCTTATTGATAAACATTGCCATTTGTTTTCTCAATGTTGATGACCTTGGACCACGCTCAGATTGTACAGCATCACGATTCATTCCAACTTCAAAGCATCTTTTAAGACGACATGCACGACATTGATTGCGATGTGTCTTATCAACCATACAAAGTCCATCGGATTTCGATTTGCAAACATATTGTCGATTACGACGTATTGAACGTTTAAAAAATCCAGCACAACCATCACATGCATAAATTCCATAATGCTTTCCAGAGCTATGATCACGGCATACCTTACATGGAACGTCATACAATATGCGACCTGAGAAAAAGAAATAAAGAAGTTAGTTGGAATCATAAAGTCTATTTTTTTTCATATATTTGTGAAATTTGATGCCATTTCTATGGATTTTCATAAAACTGAATTGAGGGTTCGTCCATGCACAACATCCTGAATTGTTCATTTTACATGCGATGAATGGAATTAACTTGAAATGAGCAAAAATTGATCGCGATATGAATAAAAGTATCAGATTGCCTTTTCAAGTTATGCTACGCAACAGGAGAAAATCAAGAAAAAAATAAAAGAACTTCTGGCACAGGAAATGAAATTTGCCCGCCTATAATTTCTTTGTTGTGTGAGATTTTTTGAATGACGGAAGTTTTTGTGCTCATTTTGATGCTTGAGAATCGTTTAATTTAAAATTGCTCATTTTGTGAGATTTTTTTGAATTTTGAAAGTCGAGTCTGGTCTTTTTCATCAAAATCTTTGAGATTTAAAAATCTTGAAATTTGAAAAATTCATAAAAGTTTAAATTTAAATTTTTCAAATTCAAAAAACTTGCTTTTCAAGCAAAAATTCACACAAACTCAAAAGTTCATCTTCTAACATCCTTCCTGTCTTTCCTCAACTCACAAACATCCGCCTTAAAAATCATTGAATGAAGCTTTTACAATCCTGCCTCCTTCCAAAAATAATCAATTTATTTTCAAGAAAAATAAAGATTCATTGAGAAAAATCTACAAATATTTTGGAAGTTGTCTGTTCCTGTGCCTCACAAGTACTAAAACCTTTTTATCAAACCTTAAAGCTTGAATTTAATTTCATGTTAAAGTTGTAAATATTTCATCGAAAGTCAGGGCATGTTGTGTGGTTGTATTTGATGGAAAATTATGAGGAAAAGTTCCTTTTTTGGCAAAAATGTTGTGGCTACATTAAAAAATTCTGTCTGACAATTTAAAAAATTTTGTTTCTTTTGTGTAGGTTTTAGTATCCTTAACATCTTTTGAAAAAATGCGGTAGAAAATTAAAAATATCAGTGACACGAGGCTTTAAGGCATGAAACTTTATGTAGCAGAGTTTTGGTTTCATACTTCCTTGGAATCATGTCATGAACTTTATGTAATTTTTTTTTTGAGAATTTGATGGAAAAAATTAATTAAATTGCAGTTGAAAGATGTTGTTGTAGCTAAGAGCATTGTGTCCTGAGTTAGGTTTACTTGGTGCTGTTTATGATTGTTTGAGATTTGTGGCATGTTTGGAAGATTTGTGTTTTATGATGACTTGCTTTAAAGTTTTTGAAAATTAGTTTTAATATTCTTAAGATCTGAGGTTTGATAGCTGATGACTAAGAATAGTCATCAATCACAATTGTTCTATACGACGAGTAAGGATGTGTTTAGCTAAACATTGAGCCAAAAAATTGTAAATAAGAGCCTTTAATTTAAAACCAAACCCGAACTTGACCTTTATAATAATTCTCAAATCCCAAAAGAATCCTGTCTGCGTAAACTGACCCTCAAGCAGCTGTTTAAAGCAAAATAACTTTTCTCCTTCATTTGCTTTATCAGACCAGAACCAAAAAAAAAAATTTCCCATCCCAAAAGAAATTTCTTTCGTAGATTTAATAATTAGGTGATAATAAGATTACATGATGAAATGTTTATGCTTTTTTATGGCACATGCAGGCACCTCCCTGTGTAGCCATCAACATCATTAATATTCCAAAATGGTCATAAAAATTTCCATTTTGCTCATCTTCGACGGATCGTCAAGATAAGCAGCACGAGGAGAAATTTTCTGGCACGTTGTAAAAATTAAGGAACACAAACACATAAAAACATTTCAGAAAGATGCCATTGATGAAAGGACATGCAAAAGAGGCGGCAATGTGCCATTCAGAGTTGCTTCTTAATGAACAAAATTTCCCAGGTAATAAAAATAATTTTCTTTGCCGACGATCATGATAATTTTTTTTGAACGCAGGTATTTATGCAGGTGGCTTGTTGTCGTCGGCAATCGGAGTAGAGTTATAAAAGTTTTTAATGAAATTTATTGTTTTTAATTCATTAATCCTAATGGACATTATTTTGGGGATTTTAATGAGATTTTGGTCGGCTTAACTTATGAGATTGTCAATAAATGGTCGGTAATTTTATAGAAATTTTTGGCCGACGGTGATTGAGAATAATTAAAGGATGTTCATCATTTGGATGTTTTGAAGATTTAAGGATTTTTTACTGAATTTTTCATAATTTTATTGCATTAAGTTCGTAAGAATGGGGTCAATGGGGTGCTCCAAAAATCAAAAATCATTTATCAACGGAACTTAAATTTATTTTTAACTTTCAATTCTCAAGGTTATTTGAAAAAAATAATTTATCGACTGTCTGAATCTTATCATCAATTTTTTTTATGATGATTGAATTTTTTTTTTCATGGCATTAAAGATTAAAATATGAAAATTTTATGGATTTTCGCTCTCTTTTATTGACTGCTGATGACTTTTTGATTCGATTTGTAAATTTTATTTCATTTTTGATGTTGCGCATTTATGCTTCGTTCATCAAAGAGATTAATTATATTTACATCCAATTTTGAGTGGCAATTAAAATGTGCCAAATTGAAAATTTTCATTATCTGGTGATTTTTGGCAACAAAATTGCATTTTATGAATTTTGTGAATTTTATATTTCTATGAAATGCTTGATTATTGAGGCTTTTGTTACAATGTAATAGTTTGGAATATGGAAAGTATTTCAATTTTGTAATTTTCATTGTGTATCGCGATATTTGATCCATAATTTATTGCAATTGAAACTTTTAATGAGATTTTAATGCAAATTATTATGAGCAAAATTTATATTCAGCAAATATCATATTTTTAAATTACAAAAAACATTCAAAATGCATTGAAAAAGTTACAAAACAATTTAATTTCTATAAAGATATTTTTTTCTCGTTTTAATTTTGATTTTATTTTTAATGATTTTATAAAAAAAAATAGTTTCAATTTGTGAAATTAATAAATTAACTAGCTACATTTATTTATGACTATAACAAGCTAATTAGCTTAAATCCGCACATTTGTGAATTCATCAAAATACACCAACCAAGCTTGATTGATGTCATGTGTGATGTCAAGTAATAAATTTTGATTTTGTAGACAAAATTACAACCTTAATTAATTTTATGCCTATTCTCAAATGTTAAATGTATGAATTGGATACATAAGGCTTGAAATTATAATTCAATTAATGTTTTAGGATCAATTTGAAGTTGTAATTAGATAAATTTGTGATTATATGTTGAAGTAGTAATTATGATATTTTGAGCTTAAAATTACAGAATAATTGCTGATTATGAAATTACCAAAGTTTGAAAAAAATTTTAATTTAAAATTACAGAATAATTGCTGATTATGAAATTACAAAATTGTTTGATTTACGACGGAATTAAAGTCAAATTGTGTGATACAGAAATTATTAAATTATCAAGTTTTTTTAACTTTGAATTGTAAATCCATTTTAAGCATCAAATTTCAGATTTATCGAAAGATTTAAGGAAAATTTAAATTCAAATAAATTCAAATTTTGATATTTTTTAATTTTTGAAAATGTTTTCTTAAAATTTTAAAAAACATACTTTAAGTTTTTGAAAACATTTTTTAAATTTTTTAAAACATTATTGAAATTTTTTAAAACATTTTTTAAATGTTTCAATTTTAATAAATTTCAATTTGTTAAGAATTTAAATTTGTTTTTACAAAAATTTCAATTTCCAAGGAATTTTAATTTTTTTTTAACAAAATCTTAATTTATTTGAATTTAAAACATTCGAATAACACAAATTTTAAGTTCAAAAACACACTTACTTGATGCAGACGCTGGAAGTCTAAGTTGACTGAATCTAGGATCCATAAGTTCTGGAGATGAACAAATCGGTGATTGCATCATTTTCATTTCTTTAATTTTTTATATCTTTTAATTTTTAATTTCTTCTTAAATCTTTTATTTTTTATCCACAAATAAAATTGTTTTAAGGCACTTCCAACTTTTTAATTTGTCTTCATCAAATCCACAAAAAAATTTTATTTCAAAAAATTTCTCACTTTTAATAATTTTTCATTTCAAAATTCACATTTAAAAAATAAAAAAAATTTTTTTTCTATCAATGAACTTCAATTAATTTTAGTTGATGTTTACTGAATGACGTTAAAAACTATTATGATCGATATTTGGGTGAACTATCGACTCTAAATAACTTTTTTTTCTATTCTACCTTCAATGCATCAAAAAAAGCAGCAAATAAGGTAAAAAAGGGAATTCGGATCATTCATGCACCCTTAAAAATTCTGCAAAACACATAAAAGACGTGCTGCTCGTTTCTGATTGGTCCATAATTTTGTAGTTGTGTGTGTTTATGCGATCCCTATTATTAATGAATGAATTTGATGAATTGCCTTACGTCTTACGTATACGTAAAGAATATTAGGTACAAAAAATAAGGAAGGAGGGGCTGAGTCGGTAATTCCATGTCACACAGTGCGATGTTTTGTCAACGTACGTGATACATTACCGAAATATTTTATAAATGTCACATGCTTGTGTTTGTGAAATGAATGAAAACAAAGGTAAGTGTGAGGATGCGACTTAAGGGACATAACAATATGCCATTAATGAAAATCTCGTCACGTCAAAATATTTTTATGTATGATAAAAAAACAAGAAATGATTTATGATAATTAAAAATTGTTAATGTTTGTACCTGTGCTTGTAATTTTATATTAAATTGGAACTTTCTTTATGGCTGATTTTTGGTAACTTTTAATTTCTTTTGATGAATTTGATTTTGGTGGCTTATGGACATTTGTTAATATTGCAATTTAATTATTGTGGGGTCTGGTGACTTGTTTAATGCTATGTATTATGTATCGGCTCTAGTGTGCTCTTTATGTAAGCTGACCATCTGCTTGGTTTTTCAGAGGAGAGTCGTCAATTTTTTTTTGATTTTACAAAAATTAAATAGTTTTGCTTTGGTTTAATTTGTCCAGAAAACGGATAAAATTAGTAGACACAAGGGATGTTATATATTTTACTCTCAGGTTCATGCTTGAATCTTGCTTGGTCATCAATTCTACAGAGTCGGTTGAGCCGAATCAATGAAAATACTTAGCTTAATGGAAACAGTATGTGATTGTATGTCTTAAGAGCGTGGATTCTATTCTCAATTAGAACAATTTTCCTATTTATTATAATATTTCAATAAGACTTGACACTTTGAATTATTGACTTATTAAAGCCGAGTGGTTAGTTTGTTCAGAAACAAGCTGCAGCCACTTTTCAAGCGGAATCCCTAATGATAAACTCCAAGTCTTGACAACCGCGTCAGCAATATTTCAATGTATATTGATCTGTTGATATCTTTTCGTTTTAAAATCAACTTCTGGCAAAGATCCTGAATTTTCAGAGGCATAGCAAGGGTTTTAACTCTGAGCACTTAAAAATCAATAAAATTCCAGACAAGAGGCACTCATGTCATGATTATGTTCAAGACGACCAAAATAATTGCTTTGCCCCTAAGTTGTTGGACCTTATTTGTAAAGGATCCCAAAAAATCTGATCTAGATTGCAGGCTAGTTTATAAACATATCGCTTAGCTGAAACTATTTCTCATTATTATCAAAAATATCCTCAAAATCAGCAACAATTTAATTACACAAAACTAAAAATATCTCTTTCCTTTGTAATAAGAACATCCTTTGACATCCGAGTAGATTGTGATGCTCAACCATTTCACACTTAAAACATTTTCATTGAATAATCTCCGTTCAGATAATCTCCACGTGAAGGTAAAAGCTACATAATAATCACTTTGCGACTCATAGCTTCTCAACCGGAAGCTGAAACGAGAAACTTTCCATTCATCCACAGAAATAGAAAGTTTTTTAATGATTCTAGATCCAACTTTTTTTTTGCTTCTATAAAGTCCTGTGATATATAAAAATCTCATTCCCACGGTGAGCATCATCATCATCTGTATATTACGTTTCATAGAAATTTTTACAATTGAAAGGGAAAATATGTTCGCTAATTTTTTTAAAAACATATAAAAATGTATAAAATCGACAACATATGGTGCTGCATATCCACCTACATACACTTGTTTCACATACAAAATATTATTTTTTTTCAGATCCTTTTTTTTAATTGCCGATGTGAAAATACATTTCAATTGCGATGTAATCGAATCGCGGGGGAATTTATTTTTTCATATCATGTTTAAAGAGATGTGCATGAATATTCCTGTGTTTTTAGGGCTAATTTTATCATCATACATTGAAAAATTCATCAATTTCACTGCCATATGTCACTGCAATAGCATTGTCGTTGATGACTTGATGATTGCCACGAGGGTTCATCATATGATGCATGTTTTGTACGTTTATTTCGAGATGTGATGTCCGTTATTCATCCCTTTATTTTGTGAGAATATTAAGCAATTAGGATGTTGGAATATTGTAATAAAAAAATTGATTCATGAACTTGCATGGGAATTTATGGAAAATTATTTGATGTGAAAAATTAGCTGCTGGGTGATCTTGTTTGTTTATTTGGATATGTTGATATGTTTGACTGGTTTTATTGATACTGCGTGGGAATTTTTGGCATGAATTATTGACATTCAAAATTGTGAAGTGAATTAAATTCAATTATTTGGAAGATGATGTGGATGGAGGGGAGAGGGGGGCTTTGATACATCATGTGCAAAAGTACAAATATTTATGGTTAAAATCTGATTTTTTACCATTTTTGCTATCAGAAAACTCAACTTACTTCCACAGCTAAACTTCACAAGAAGGCTTATGCCGAGTCTCGAACCCATGATCGCTGTACCGCTTTCGCAATAATTAGATGCCGAAGTATTTAACCACTCCACCACCTAGTCACTTCAAACCCAATGATTAAATGAGGACAAATGTAACTTTTTAGATCCCATTTAGCTTTTTTCCCCGAAATTTCTATAATGATAAATTCATAATATTCAAAATGACTCAAAACAAATCTCCTTCACTCTTACAAAACATACCAATTAAAATGAACAACCCCCATACAAACTCTTATAAACAAAAATCAAATCGTTCACAAAAATCAAATCAAAGCTTTCAATTTTCTCCTCGAATGATCAATCAAATAATAAATTAGAAGGCAAGGAAACGATTTTTTACGACTCAAAAATTTCAAGTAAAGCTTTTCTTTGATCACATTTATCAATTCATTAACCTCGTTACAAATGTCATAGATTTCAATTAAATTTTCTTCTTTTGATGGAAGTTTGTATTAAGTTGGTTGAATTTGATTTGTGGTGTTAAGGGGGTTGGAATGTCGTGAGCATTTTGCGAATCGTTGTCATATTCACAATACTCTATAACAGTGTTTCTCAAATTTTGTCGACGGCACCTTTTTGAAGTCATAAAACATGAAAATATAGAGTCAATTTTAACAATCAATTTTTTTCCCAGCACATATTTTGAGCACCACTGCTCTTTATAATGATCGAGAGATTAGATTCTGGTGGGAATCGAACACACATCCTCACAAAAGAGGGTTACAGATATCTGGACTGTTTCCTTACTACTCGCACCACAGAGGCTTAACTCTCGCACTGGCAGATTCGCTTATTTATGACTCAATACCCCAAAATTCCACTCTACTCCGACACCACAGTGAGAGAGTGGGAGGGGGTATTAGAGGATGAATTGCCAAATAACAAGGCAAGTAAAGATTTTAAGTCTTCTTGAATCTAAAACTTGGTTTCACGACTTTACAATTCACTGTTTTTGGCATTGGTACTTGTATTTGACACTTTATTGCAGTAATGGACAACCTTTTTTGTGCCAAGGCACACTTTGGTGGTAAGCCTTGACAAAAAACGCACACGGCATACGGTTTGTGGTTTTTTTTTCGAAACATTGGTGTGCCGTGGCATATGGGTTGCCCACCACTATTTCATCAACATCAAATTCTATGACAAAAGACTTAAAAAAATATTTTTTGATATACGTTATTTAAAATTAACCCTTAAGTGCCACGATAAGCCTTTCATAAATGACAAAACAATTTCTCATCATAAATAATAAAAATTCTAGTTCATTTAAATTTATGAACACGCAATGATGTTCTCAAAGTCCACCTGAAATTCAATTCCACCCTCATTTAATTACCCTCATCCATTCCCACACAGTTCATTAACATATGACTGTTGATTTTCATCAAAATATATATTTTTATTCTCATCTAAATTGATAGCCAGCAACAATTTATGTGATGATCGTAGGTGGCACATCTCATCCTGCACAAAATTTTACTCTCCCTTCTTGTCGCTTCGTCAGATCAACAAAAAAAAAACTAAAAGTGTGAGAATTTTTATTTACTCTGTTACTATTGCCGTGCAATATGATCGCATATCGATAGACGATAGGAAACTGCTGTCGTTTCATCAAGTGCTTTATTTTTCAGCATTCCTGCACATCTGACGCTACGCTATGAATGAGAATAAAAATGAAAGTATGAAACTGTTGTTGAATGAGTTGAAAGGAAATTCAATTTTCAATATTGTGGGAACTTTTTTTTTGTAGATTGAACAGCATTCAATTATCAGGATGTTGTAGGACAAAATTGGATGTGGATGTTTTTAATTTAGAGTATACAAGTTTGGATGTGATCCTGTGGTGAATTTTGGATGGACATTTTTGTATTGTAATTGAAAGAAAATATGTTCTACATATGAAGCAGGCTAGCTTCATTTATAGCCAAAACTATGGAGATTCCTGAATTCCATACATTGTTATTTTGAAGCTTACATAGCTTGTCATAGCATTAACAACTAGTCAAATGTAAACAAAAGTTTTTACATGACAAAAAACTGAAGTTTTCGCATATTTGTTTGTTCTTGGGCTTTTTCAATTTTATTTTGGGGCCGTTCACTTGTTACGTAACGCTTTTAGAAAAAGGGGGAGTTTTGAAATTTTATGACAATTTTAAAAAAATGAAATTTTTCTACATACTAATTATGTGATAAGAGGGCATGAAGAGAAGAGGGGGCTTGTAATTCGTTATTTATGTCACGTAATATGTGAACGGCCCCTA